CATCAATAAAAGAGTAAACCAAAATGGGGTGCAGCTGAAGGAATTTAATTTGGTGTCTATGCCCTTGTCAAACTTTTTCCAGTAGATGGATAACTTTTCTCTCATAACTGTAGACTCTAATGAGGGTCTCTTACATCCTATCTACCTTTGTGGCTACCTTTCTTATTTCTCAGCATAAATTGTGTTTCTCCTGTCACCACTTGTTTCCAGGCTTTGCATCACACTGGTGTGTCTAAGACATGCAGCACACCCTTCTTCCTTTCCTCTTCTTTATTTTTTAGACTTTATTTTGGTGACTTGCCTCTTAATTTCTCTGTTCACAACTTACAATTTGGGACAACTTCTCTCATCCTTACACATATTTTCTCCTTACAAAATGTTTAGATCAGGAAAAAACCCATCAGATTCCTTTGTGTTTGCTGTCATGTAAGTCTGTTATAGCTGGGAGAAGGTAAATTCTATGAATTAATCTTGGGTATTCTTTGAGAAAAAAAATTACAAAAATAATAATTCATTGCCTAGCAAGCAACATAATCTTCTGATTTTCTTCCACTGCTTCACCTTAGACTTGTAAGTTGAATGCAACATACTCAAAAATCTATCCAGACTGCAAGGTGCTGGAAAAAGAGGGAAAAGTTATTGCAAAAAATAATTTTTATGGGTAGCCTGTTCTGGGGCTGCATTTCACACTTCTCTCCTGTGGGCAGTTAAAAAAAGGCACAGAAAAATGGTAGCATGAAGGTGTTGCTCTGTTCTTTGCTCCGAACTTTGCTGCCCTTTTTTTAGAGGCATTAAAGACAGATATTTGAACTGCTGCTTCTCTGATCTGCAGATACCAACATGCCCTTAACTTCTCCTACGCTTACCCCACCATGTACCCCTTGAAGCCCACCTTGCCCTGGCCACAGGGAATGCATCCCTGGTGGAGGGGCTGGTGCAGGCAGCCAGGTGAAGGCAGGAGGAGGAGTTGAGTGTGCAAGGCAAAGCAGGTAGGAGTGTGTTGACAGCAAGGCAAAGGGAGGCAGTAAAATGAAATGCAGGAATTGGACAGGGAAGTCATGTGGAGTTCTCTTATCCTCTGCTTGCCAAGCGCTACAAGCTTACATGCTGACTGCCATAAAACACGAAATAAAGCGGAGCCTCTCAGTTTGCTCCTATAGGCTGTTGCTGAAAGAGCAATTCACCCGTTTAAATATGGATCTGATGCTCCTTCTCAGGTAGCGACAAATCGGATCTACAGTTTCATTGCATGAGCTGCAATGTGAAATGCAGGGCATGTCAGTCTGCAAACGTGGGGGCACGAGCACTCTAACAGCTACATCGGGAAGTAGCTTTCATGCTCACCCCTCTGTGGTGCTGTTGGAGGGCTGCATAATTATGGCCACCAACTACTGGCCCATCTGGTCCTCCCATGTTAGGAGAAGCCCAAACACCTCATGGCTCACACCTTCTGGAGGAGAGGACGCACAGTGCTGCACTTGGAAGGTGAGGAAGCAGGCAAGTTAAGGCCAAAAGCAGCTTTTTTAAAGACAGGATATAACACAGCCCCTTCCTCCTCCATGGCCCAGCTCTCTGGGACATTTGCAAAACACCCTCACATCCCTGGTCAGACTGGTAAGGAGCACAGGGGACATGGAGACAGGTGGCTGCCAGAGGCCTCATGGGTGCTGCAGCAGTCCATGCCCCTCCTCAGTGAGCAACCAGTACTGAGTGCAGGCACAGCTCTGAAAGATTGCCCTTGCAGAGTCCGAAGCTTTGATCTGAGTAAAAAGATGTTCCCAGAACTACTGGAATTATGTGAAAAAAGGAAATTTCAATGGGGCATCAAAATGATGAATTTGGCAAGTGTGGTATGGAACAGCATCTCTGCAGCTTGGAGAAATAGCCTGTCACCAACAAGCGCAAGAGTGGGGCAAGTGCAAGTGCAGCTGGGGCGAGGCAGTGGAGGTGCAATATTTCTCTTCAACACCGCATCAAGCCAAGATCTCATGCACAGGCTTTGCTCTACCTAGTGCTGTGTTTGGATAAAAGCTGCTCCAAAGTTGCTGGGGAGGAGAGGAGCTGCCAAGGAGCCATTCACTCTGCACCAGTTCTTGCAGATCAGCTTGGGTAATGACCACTCTTTGATCTCTACCTTACTTGACTGAGCCCTACTTAGCTCCCATGGCCTCTCCTCTCTGCCACATACACCCTTTGCCTTGAGCTGTAGCCAAAAGCGACCTAAGCCCAATGTCCAAATTCAAGTGGCAAATGCTTTTTTGCACAGGTTGTGTTAGTGAGTGAGTTGTTTTCCCAGTGGAGTTCATAATGGTTGGAGTAACGACATAAGCTCTCCTGGCAAACTGCCATGAACAAGATTTCTGTGTCTCTCCAAGGCCATCTCCTGGCACAGCTCTGCCAGCTAACATGCAACTTCTTTAACCCTCAGGCTGGCATAATTCTGTGGGCAAAACTCCTTAAATGTGTATTTGAGGTGTCCCTGTGCCACCCTTCTCGGCCTGTGTCTGTCACAAGCTCTCGCCTGCTAGTCACCTGGCAAAAAGAGTTGGAAAAGCCAAACTTGTGCAGGAAATAACTTGCAAATGAAGCCTGAGCATGAGCTGATAGAGAGCCAGGGTCACAAGAAATAAGTTATTTTGTGGCTAAGTCAGTGGCTGCTAAACCGTATGGATCAGAGGAGGCAGAAATACAACTGCAGCAGTGAGAGGAACAACACAAAGGGTGTCTGGGGATGTGTGTTTGTTTAAGATTAGCCCATGGATTATGGGGTTTTGTGTCTAAACCCAGCAATTATTGACTGGCTTGCCACAGAGCAAAAAGCTTTAAAGTGTAACAAAATCAGGATTTTAAAATAGGGCATAACTTAGTTTGCAGATTTACTAAGTGTTGTATCATATCAGAGCAAGTTTTAACTCACTGCTAATTCAAAGAACACCCTCTCTTTATCTTCACCAAGGGTTTTCACAGGATAAATTATTTTCACCAATCTGCTAAATATCCTGTGCACACGAGGGCATTTTGATATTTGTTCCCTCTCCTAGCCATTGACCTTTAAATGTGACACCTACATTTCTGATCTTCCCATATCGCTACAATTCTATCTGTTCTGATTTCCCTCTCCTTCAAAATAGTGCAAAAGTGTTCCACAGATGTGGAACAATTAAGTTAGATATTGCATAAAAAAGCACTTCAATTTGTTTATTTAAAACCTGCTGCCCAGTAATCACATTAGATGTTCACAATCCTTGTATTGTGAGGAAAATCAATTGTTTTTCCCTATTAATTTTCACTGGAGCACCAGTTCTTGTCTGTGTAGAGTCCCATGTCGAATTTCTTTTCTGCATGCTGAAGAATCTAAAACTATGTTTTTCTGCTCTCAAAAAAAAGCTGTTCCATATGTCTTACCTCTGTATTTTTAAAATTTATCATATTTTTAATCTGGGATGACTGACACTGGAAGCAATATTGAAGATACATTTATATGCTTTTATATGGTGGTACAATAATGCTTCCCATTTCACTCTCTGTTCCTGAGAAGCAGAAAAGGGTTTGCATGCCTGAACACTCATCTACTCCTTCTACCTACAATCTAATATACAAACATTTTGTACTCTACTGCAACAATCATACTACTGACCACATGCCTAATAGTTTAATTGTTTTTCTGAATGTCTCTGAGCACTGAGTGACATTTCCAGGCAACTAGTCACATTAATATCAAGAACTCTTCTCTGGCTCATAGTGGGTAATTCAGAGGATGTGGATGGGTATGTGTGGTCAAGATAATTTTCTCTTTGAGCTTGACTATGCTTTTATTTGCACTCAATTTCACCTGCAAGGTTATTGCCCTCTTATTTAGTATTCTGGTGACAATTTTTGCAGACAACTTTAGATTAGACTATCTTGACTTATTTTGTGTTGTCTTCAGGCTGTGTAACACACATGTGACTTCTTTTCCATCAGCACATTGAACCAAGTGTGTCACACTCACACGAAATGGCCTGTGTAGGTACATGTAGAACGCATTGCATGTTCCCAGTATAGAACCTCATGCACCCTGCCAACTGTTTTTTGATGCACCTGTTTTTTGATAACTAAGCTTTGTCTTCTTGCTATTAATCATGTAATAGCCTGAGAAGAAACTTCCCTTCTATCCACAGTAGCCCAATTTATTTTAGAACTGTTGGTAGGAACTTTTGTGCTAAATCAACCTCTCACACAATGTGTGTTGCCAGTACTTTCACATTTGAAATCTCAGTTCTGAAAACATCCCCTTGTAATCTTGTAATCTCCTCCTATGAAACAGAAGGGTTTAATGTGAGGGGCTGCCCTGTACAGTCAGAGGAGCAGCTACCCCTTCCATGCTGGATCCATGAAATGAGGCCAATTTATGCAGCTGCCACCACATCAGAGCCTTCCTTATGCATTGCTGGTTGCAAGGCATTTGCAGGGTGGGCAGTGGCAGAATGGCTAAAGTGATGGGAAGGTTCAGCACAGTCAGACTAATGATAGGTAGTGAAAATTCAGACAGCTGAAGACAATTATTGAATTTTAGATAGATTTTGAGAAATTAAATGAGTTCAATGGCTGTTCTACCATCCGGAAATCCATAATACATTACTGGTAGCACTGGAAATAACATTTGAGAGACTAAAAATAGACTGCATATACCACTCCTTCTGCTTCCCCTGGAGTGCTGAGAACATTCAGTACTTATTAAAGAAGGCATTAAAAATAAGCTGAAATTTGCATATCCCTTTTTATGATTTCATTTTTTAAAAATACCAGAATAGCCATTTATAGCTGTTCTTCTTGTGAGGAGTCAGACAATAACAGAAAATGAAAAAGAGGGGATATACCCTTCACTCAGCTACATGACTGCCTGTTGTGGTGGTGTATGGGGGTTCCTTTTCTTTATAAAAGCTCATCCTCTGCCTGACCCTTTCTCAGCAGCTTTTCTCCTACAACTCTAGGAACTGTCAAGCCTTTGAGGCAATGACTTGGAGAAGAGAAAGAGAAGAAATCCCATTCTCCAGGCAAAAGGCCAAAAGGACAATTATTGGGTGATATTTCTGTAAGTCACAAGGAAGTAAGTCCCAAGGATTTTCTTTTGTATTATGTTACAGGGGGTCTAAGCTGCACCAGCCAGCCCAGAGATGTTGGTCACCACAGAAAACTATTGTGATTAGTGCATGCCAAAATTTCCTCAGGGGTTTTGGCCCCAAAAAGCTTCCAGGGAAATCACTTGTAAAATCTGATTCAGAAAAACACATAACCAATATCAAGTACATCTTCATGTTATCTAAAGCCTTGGGTCTTATGTTTGCCTTGTGTGTTCCCACATCCAGTATGGTGCCGTGCAGAGAAGGCCTAAGAATACATATAAAACTTCCCATAAAGAATTTAACATGGACAAGAAGAGCAGGTCTTTCATGAATTTGTGCTTTCAAGTCCTAGAAAATGTACTTGCATTTTACAGCAATAGCTTGCAATCTGTGTTTCAATGGATTTATATTTGTGGGAGTGAGTAGCATTATTTTTACTCTGGAAATATTCTGAAGTTGAGTTCCCCAAGGGACCTGAGGCCAAACGAGGGCTAAGGAGGGTACCTTTGGCTTCATGCATGCTGCTTGCTCCATGCACTCTAAGGAGAATTTTGAGTTAGAAGAAGTGCAACCATGCCTCATCAAGGTGCTTTTGCTAGGGTTGTTAATGGAGCTGGCCTGGCTGTACTGTGTGTGCCTCTGCAGGCTAGGTGAAACAACTATAGAAATGGAAAGAAGCAGAAATTTTAAAAAGAAAACTGTGGCAGATTCCTTCCCACTCCGTGGGATTTTTTTGAATCAAAAATGAACTTCCCACACAATAAGGGCCTGCTAATTCTTTCTACATGTTTGCACACATTTACTTGTATGCACAAAATCCTGCATTGCACAAACATTGGAGTATTTCCACAGGTTCATGCCTGTAAGTATTTCTTTAGATATAAAGCCACTGGTCTACTTTCAGGTGCGACACTGGATGTAAGAATAGAAACATAGAATCATCAAGGTTGTAAGAGACCTTTAAGATCAAGTCCAACTGTCAACCTAGCACTATCTAAATGGAATTCACAGTATAGGAGAAAGACTGATGAAAACCAAATTGCCAACAAATTGTATTTAGTTTTCGGAACACTGAACTGTGGAGTTTCATATCCTGAGACATTTCTTTTTTTGTATTCAAGAACAGGACAAAATGAAGTTGATGAAAATTCCTCGTTTCCCCACCAAGTGCCCTTACCTGCATGCTCGTGATTCCCACAGCTCTTGCCCAGGAGATCCTATGTTCACCCAGCCTCTTGTGTTGAGGGTGTTGTCTTGGTACATAGAAACAGGTATTTGACCCACCTCTGCTAAAGCCAATCTCACTTCCCAGGTAAGATGACTGGACATTACTGTTATGCTTCTTTAACCATCTTTCATAAGAAGACTCAGCAGCCTTGTACTTACCCGAGCCAGAGAGCCAAAGAAACAAAAAGAGGGATATAATATAACCCTCCTTTGGGAACCAAGCAATGAAATTTAAGGCTGTGGCTGTGACGTTCTTTACCAGAGCTAGATATTAACACGTGATTCCTTTTATTTTAAAAGGAAAATATTTTCAAATCTCCCACAGCCCCTGCTTTCAGAGCTTTCAAAAATCAAATTAATAACTAAGCTGAAGGAGAAGGAGAAAATACTAAATGTCCTGCACTCAGTAAAACTATGCCAGTTTTAAGTAGATTAGTAGCATTTCCCTTCAGAGCCTCTTTTTATTTTATTCTATATAAAATTCTGAGCAACATAAAAATTCCCCTGATCTTGTGAGATCTTTTGGCATTTGCAAAGGCTTTTCAGGCAGCTGTTAAACAATGATATTTTCCTTTGTAATTGGTATTAAAAAGTCTTTCCCTCTATTTGTGTATCAGTGGCAGACTGAAAACTTCTAGATTCAAAATTGCAAGGAGCCTGGCAGTATGGATTGAAACCCCAGGGCTGACATATGGTCACATTTGGGACTGATGGCAGACTTCACTAAAACAACTCTTCAGAGACCAAATTTCCTGAGTACAGGGGGAAAGAGATTACTAAAATCACAGGAAAACTTTCCATCCCTCCCTGTCATTCACCTATTCTACTGTATATATATAGATAGATAGATAGATAGATAGATGTATATGTATACATATATACATACATATGTATATATATGTATATATATGTATGTACATATATGTATATATATGCATATATCTAATAGATAAGTTGGTACTCTCTTAGCAGCTACTAATAACTATTATAGGCAAAAGACCAATGTGTGTGTGATATGACTAATATTTACTTATTTAGAATTCCTATTTTTGGCATAAAAACTGCATATCTTGTATAACCCAAATACATGTGCTTGATGGAAAGACTTGTAAGGTGTATTCATAAAATAAAATTTTATTTATTTTCTGAAAGGTTTCAAGGCTGCAGAAAAACACTATTTATGCCACAAATTACATCAGTGGTTTTTAAAGTAGTTGAGCCTGTGGACTGCTGCCAGCCTGTAATGTCTCTCCCAGTTAGTCCTCACCACACTAATTGAAAATACCACTGATGTGGTGTCCAGCTCTCTCTGTGGACTACTAATTGCAGTTTTGAAAGTCACTGCTGAAAACCATGTCCATAATGCTGGTGGCTACTAAGCTGTTCTGAAATCCTGAAAATCACAGTTCCTGCTTTTCATTTGGTCCCCAGTCTCATACGAAATCCTTGTAGCAATGACAGAGTGAAAAAGTTAAGCACATCCCATTGCAGTTTGTTAGAGTACAAGTGTCAGAATTTTTTTTCCTTTTTAAGTTGAAGTACAAAGCTGACTCTGAATTATGCATGCCTAGAGTAATTCTGCATTGAATTAAATCACTAATCCTGGTGTAAGCACTCCCTCTGAATTAATTTTTAAATTAATTTTTTTCCCTCCATGTCTTTCTGTTTTGTTGATTGTGGTTTAAAGATTGGGCTGAGCACATGAAATAGTGAGAATCTTTTTCTCATGTACTATATGCCTAGTACCATGCTATTAGCATAGAATCCTTCCTACATGGAAATAGCTGAATACTTTCTCATTGGCAATTCAGAATTCCCAGGTTACTTCAGCTGTCACAAATCCCAACAGCTAACATGCAGATACAGTCTCTGTTGTAGAGATATCTGAAGATATCAGCTGCAGTGGGTAATGGCAGCAGGGTGACCCTTCTCTCCCTTCACCACGTGTCCAGCCAGCCTGACACTCTTGCTTTAACCTAATGACACCACTCCAAACACACATCATGTCTTGGGATGAGCCGTGTGTTACCCGAGCAGAAGTGCAGAAAATGCCATGACCCTACCAAAGCACCGTCCCTGCCCTTGCCCAAATCCATCCATCAGTCCAGCTATTACTCCTGCAGGATGCTGCAGCCCTGAGGACAAGGGTAGGCTGGCTGACATCAGCAACTGCTGAGGCAGGAGGATGAGTCTGCCCATAGCACAACATGCTATCTCTGCATGCCAAACATGAGGAGACACACAAAATGTCCTTCAAATTTGGGGTCTTCCTTAGTGCTAAGACCTTCATCCCTCATCCTCAACTTGGCTGCCTTGTCTCACAGCGACTGTGGTGCCACCATCGTTGCTGGGACTGGTCCCATACAATGGTGCCCACAGGGGTGGTTGTAGCTGTACCCCACAGCTCCCTGCAGCCACTGAGGAGGAGGATGGAGAAGTTTCGCCTCCACCTCAATGCTGCCAGTCTCAAGGGCAGCACCCAGGGTGGGAATAGGGTTGCATACAGCACAGGGGCTGCAAGTACCTCTCTGCCAGCACCAAGAAAAGGCAAGTGAGTGCTCCCTCTTACATCTGTGTGTTTGCTGTCTGCACATGATTCTCATCACTGCCACATTCAGGGGACTCTCTGCAGCAGGGTTGTGTGAATGTTAATTAAACTAATCCCAGATTTTATGTGTCTAGCTGATAAGACAGGCTGGTAGTGCTCTAAATTTAGATTTGTTGGGAGCTGTTTGAGAAGACAAACATAGACAGAGCTGCACTGATGTATCCTGCAGCAGCACCTTCACTCTCAAAATGGCATCAGTCCATGGTAAATGGGCTGAATAAATAATGTGGGACAGCCCTGCTAACGACAAAAGTGTGGTTATATGTCAACAGTATCACCTGGCCAAGCCTAGAACAGGTTACACTCCTGTCACCCACGTGTGGACTGTGTTCAGAAAAGGGAGATGCAGGAAGTGACACGCTTTAACTCGGTAAACAATATAAAAATGGAAAACTCACCCTAAATAAACAAACAAACAAATACACACCCCCATAAATTGAAAATTGTGACTTTGGACTGACATTGATATTTTTACTGTGTTTGACTGAGATTGACTGCTTTTGACTTTTTTGCTGCTCAGTTGTGTCAATGACTTAAAATATTGTCCTGAGGGGGTTTTTTGTGTCTTGGGTTTTGGGTTTTTTTTCAAAAGAGGTCTCTGATATTGCACCCCCAGCTTTGTGCTTGCATCAGTTTTATGGAGCATCTGAGGCTGGGTGCCTTGAGTGGCTTCTGCAGATTGAATTTACTGAAAGTGCCTCACGTTGTACCCCGGCTCGAGCACCCAGTCTACGGTCCTTGGAGGGGCTGCCTGCTGGAGAAGAGAGGTCTGGAAATACAAGTGAATGAAACAAAGAAAGAGCAGTGGGAAAACAGAAGAACATGAAAGTTGTGACAGAGTCTTCAGCTTTCAGAGGGCTCTTATTTACTCCTTTATATGCTTTACTGGAAAGATGAGTAGCTTGCGGTTTCCAGAGAGAGTCAGCAGGTAAGGCTGATAAATGTAGTCAGCTGCCCTTATAAATCTGGTCTTTGGCACTCAGGGATAATGAAGTTTCTGTAGGATTTGGGTATGCAGACCTTTTTTCATCCTCTTTGGTGCCCCTTTCACTTTGTTCTCAAAAGGACAGTACTTGTACCTGTGGATTTGTACCTGTACTTCTTTAAGACTGTACCAAAATCCTGACCTTTCATGCCACCTACACTTTCTGTTCAAAAATGACCTATTGCTTGGATGGAAAAGGTTATTTTTTAGTCTGATCTGATCCTTAGCACTATGCTAATCTTTTACAAACTGAGTTTTTCATACATTTTCACATTTCAGAATTTCTACTGAAAACTGTAATTATTACAGCTCTAATTATTCTGTCATTTACACAGTTTTATTTCCATTTTGGCATAATTGGCTACTTGATTGTAAAATGCTTTCTTTATGACAGTGTTTTCCTTGATAGGGTCCTCTGACCATCTATCAAGAAAAAGGTGTTTTTCCTTTCCTCATTACTACAATGACATCAAGAAATGGTAGCTTGTTGAATGATATAAATGTTAGTGAATATTGTTCTCCAGAAAACCATTTCTCCCTTTTCCATCCACAAGCAAAAGTTATTGGTTTGCTTGAAGGTATTTGAATTTCACATCAGAGAAAACCCTCAGTTACAAATCATTCTGATGTGCAGGACTTGCCACCCCACCCTCACTGGAGAACTGAACTGCTGCTGGATCATGATATGGGGGCATCTGTGCAGATCATGACATGGAGATATCCATGCAAATCACAAAATGAGGACATCTGTGTTGCCAAGTCCATTCACAGCAGCTGAGGATCTGACCCACACTCACATATGTCAGTAGTGATGGGTCAACAAAAGATCTGGGTTTTGTCAACTCTGTGTTTACTGACTGGAAAGCCAGTAAACAGACAATTGTGTTTTTCTGTTTGTTTTAAAACAGGCTGTGGGAAATAGTAAAGGTTTGAAGTATAAGCCAAAGGGCTGATAAACATCCCGTGTGATTGACAGCTCTGCCTGCACAGGACCTACAGTGCAGAACCCTCTTGTTCTTTGTTGGAAAGGATCAAATCCACTGTTTCTAAGATATTTTCCTGAAGTCTGTGAGGAAAGAAAGGACAAAGAGCTATTTGGGGAAAAAAATGGTCTGGAAAAGAAGGGTAAGCCCTTTCCTCAGAGTCTTCTCCCACTGCAGCTGACAGAAGCACATTTTCAGAATGAGTAGACAGGATTCATTGCACCATGTCATCATAAAGAAAACATTAAACTGACCATAGAAACTGCACTCTGAAATTGCCTATTTCTCATCAGCGATTATAAAAGGCAGTGTCCAGTTACTAGCACTAACTCACACCTCTTTGCCGTAGACATCTCATATTAGACGGTGAGAATCTCCCCTTGCTATGGACAATGTTGCCTGGTGATGGATATCCGAGTGAGGACTGTTGCTATGTTTTACCCCTTATCCTAAGGATACCAGTAGCTTTATGCCCCCTGTACCATATTGTGATGTAGCATTGTTTTATTTTATAATGCTGGCGGGCATATATTCATGGGAGCAGTAGCATACAGTGCATGATTTAAAGGTGGTAATTGCTCATCTGGTATATTCTAGGGAATCAGCCTGCTATTTAAAATACTCTGAAGCTCCCAAGCAAAAGCTATTTTTTCTCTCAACTGGAAACAGATCTGGCTGATAAATGTATAACTGCTGTAGCATGCCAAGAGATGCTTTAGCACACAGGAATATTGTGATAGTAGAGGCAGAAATTTGACACTACATCTTGAATATAGGGCACAAATTCCCACCTAATCTGAAGACCAGAAATAAAAAGAGTAAGATTTGAAATAGGGCATTTTTTTTTGCTCATATGAAATTGAATCACAGAATCATAGCATTATAGAATAGTTTGGGTTGGAAGGACTTATAAAGGTCATCTAGCTACATTCTCTTTCAACTGAATGTCTTCAACTGGATCAGGTTGCTCAGAACCCTCTGCTTACCTTCCTTGTACTACTGAAGGTGTTAAAAGCAATGTTACCACCTGCCTGACTAAAGCAAGCAGGGACTTATGGCACCCACTGAGCTCTGGGTAATTCTGGTTGTGATGAGACTGAAATCTTTCAAATGAAAAGGCTGGTCATTTCTGACAGGAGCAGAACCACTGGAGACTACTGTCTGAGACATGTCGTAGGCTTTGGGAGAGATCTGCCCCTATGCATTTGGAAACAAGGACAGGCTGTGAGCCACTGTATGTCTTTGTGCTGTGCTGGCTATGGCTTGTGTCAGCTGTGCTAACCAACTGGGCCAGTGAGGCACACAGGGACATTTGATCTCCTGCAATACGACAGTTACCCTTTAGCATACCACAACACAAAGAAAGGGCTTGCAGACACTTCAGAGAAAAAATAAAGCATATGAATACATACAAGCATACTCAAATTAGTCTTATTTGTTTGAAACTGGAGGCAGCACTGCTTGCATGAGCCTGCTGCACTATTACTGGTCACCAGCTGCAAAAGCTCCTGGTCTTATTCCCATTCCCTCACATAGGATGAGGAGTCAGTTTCCTCAAGCAGCACTGTGCCACCTCAGGCTGTTCCTATCCATCCCTTCCAGCTGCCCAGGGCAGCAACCTCCAGGAGGAGAAGCAAGAATGAGAGCGGGATACTTTGTCCCTCATCAACCAGGCAGGGAAAGAGCCAGCAGGGCAGTTACCACTACCACGAGGGCAACAACTGAACCCAAACTGATGAAGGGCATCGGATCTTTGAACTGAAAAAAAAAAGGCACAGAACAAAGCTTTTTCAATAAAAAGGTATTCTTATTAAGCAATTGTTGGATACAGTGTAGAAGATAATTGCCTAAATTAAGTTGTATGGAGAAAGTAATCCTGTAGCCACTCTGCTGTCTGCTCTGGGACATAAACTAATTTCCATTCTTGCAGGAGTCAGATAGCTGCAGGTATAATAGAAATGCATTTACTAGCAGCCACAGAAGAAGCTATATATCTCTCATCAGAACTGTTGGCATGTTGCTGGGAGTACTGCTGGCCATCTGAGCGGAACACGAGAATAGGACCTGCTCAGTGCAGTAGGGACATCTCCACCTGTGAGTGTAGCCCTGTCACCATGGCAGAGGTGCCAGTGTGTTCCTGATTTCAATCACTAAACAGCAGTACTAAGATACCCTGGTAAGTTTGTGTGGGAATGATTTCTGAATCTCAGTTGCAGGGAATAAGAGTCCATGAGAGCTGCCTGTGGTGGCACATAGGCAGCTAAAACACTGCTGTTTCCCTCCCACTGAGAAAAGCTTATGCTTTAGGTCAGCTGCAGGACCTTTCCCTAAGGGAACTGAAACCAAGTCCTGGAGGACAATGCAGACTTGAGGACTCCCTGTCTGAGGATAGGGGTTTCCAGATACCCGCAGCACACCTGCCTGTGGCAAAACCAGGGTGTGATTTGGAAAGGGAGAAGTAGAACCAGCATGACATCCCAGAGATTATTAGGTCTTTTTTTGTTTGTTGATGAGGCATGAGGTGCATTGCAGGTGTGCAGGGAGCACGATCAGTGCTGCTGCTGCAAATCCCAGGCTTCCTGATAAAATAAAGACCTGGGCTGTGTGTAGTTAAACCCACAAAGAAGGACCATCAAGGACTGCCAGAAATACATAATGGATACTGCCTTTACAGGAATTTTGTTGAGTGCCATGTATCCAGTGTTGCTGAAAATTTCTGTGCACTTGTCCATTTCCTCAGAAAACTTCTTTCTCTCCCACAGCAGCTTGCGAGGCATTTTTGAAAAAGTTTACCCCTGGTTACAGGCTGTGATTCAAGGTTCTGCATTTACCTCCCAGTTCTGCTGCTGACTCTCCCTTTAGGTCCTGTGTAACACACTGTTCTAGTTTTAGCTTGGATAGAGTTAATTTTCTTCTTAGGTGGCACAGTGATGTGTTTTGAATTCAAGATGAGAATCATGTTGATAGCGCACGTTTCAGTTGTTGTTAAGTAGTGCTTATTCAAAGTCAAGGACTTTCCAGTTTCCCATGCTCTGCCAGTGAGCAGGTGCCCAAAGAGCTTGCCAAAGGGATATTCCATACTATAGAATGTCATACTCAGGGAGTTGGCTGCGAGAGGCTCCTCGCTGCCTGGGGACAAGCTGAGCATCAGTCAGTGGGTGCTAAGAAATTGTATTGTGCATCACTTTTCTTCTTGAGTTTTATTCCTCTCTCTCTCTTCCTCCTTTTCATTATTATTATTATTATCTTTATTATTACAATATTTTATTTTGTTTCAATTAACAAACTGTTCTTATTTCAACCTACGGGTTTTACTTTCTTTCTGATTCTCCTCCTGACCAGAGGAGGGGAGTGAGTGAGTGGCTGCATGGTACTTAGTTGCTGACTGGGGTTAAACAACACACAGGGACTCTGAGCCTGGCTTTAAAGTAGGAATAATAAGAATGTCCTTTCTCCATCTCTGTTTTAACTCATGCTTATTTGTACAGCAAGATTTTGTGTCAGCCCAGGCAGCTCACTGTGGGGAAGAAAAAGAGAAGGGCAGAGAGCCCACTAGTGTAGCACCACCCGATGAAACAATTCTACACAACTCAGAGGAGAGAAACTGGGCACCTGTTTGACAATCTGTCTACACTACAACATATCTTACCCAGGGCAGGGACTTCCAAAGGAGTGCATGACTTTCAACAAAGCTTTCAGCACCTGGTGAGGTGTGCAATCAGTCCCTGAGGGCAGTGCTGGCCAAGCCATATTTGCTCACAGGCTGCAGCTGGTGCCTGAGCTCCCGGCTGGACGTGACATGTTAAAGTGAAGCCGATCACAGTCCTTGGTCCACACAAACAGTAGTAGTCTCCCCACTTCCTCTGATTTCTGGAAAACACACAGAGACACAGCATCTTCAAAATTAATATCGCTTTGTTAAATCTCCTTAAAAGAGACCAGTGACC